CTCGATGGAGCCAAGTGGATCCGTTGCCGCATGTATAATCCAGGAATCAGAACCCGGCCTAATCCCTACCAAGCCATCCATCTCAAGCCGGGTTTTGCCAGATTCGTCCGGGATGAGTAGAACTGTCTGAATTGGCTTCCTCTTCCCCGTTCCCCCGTCCATGTAGAGGCCATGAACTCTAGCAAACCTCGCTTATGGCGTGATTCCAAATGGAAGTCAGGCGGTGGGCACATCTCAGCAGTTTACAAGTGACTACAAACTTTATTTTCTGATTCCCATTTTCAGGTTTTACGAAAACGAAATCATGGCGACTATAGCAGTTTGGTTACAGTTATTACTCAACAAAAATGTTCGTCGGCACATTTTCCCCAGATCAAAGCCACACCAACAACAGCCAGTAACCTTTGTTACGTGAAAAGAACGAACTGAATCGAGGCAGCAGTTGGTTTCTGAAGTCTTACCTGATGCAAACATTTCTGCCGATGTATATAACCTCTATTCATCGTATCTTCTTTGCTATGGAAGTGTTTTTTTGCAAATTTCCATTTTTATGTTATTTCCTGAGTATATTCTATCTGTTCTGGACTATCTTCCGCCCTGTGTTGTAATATTCCATGAAAAAATTTTTGAAACGAAACTGTAGCTTCTCCAACTTCCGACTTTTTTGAAGGCATCACCATGACTACTAAATTTTTTCATAGCGGTTATTGAAGTTTTCTATGACTGGATGGTCTATGAAGACAGATCGAGGAGTCGGGCGCGAGATCGTCTTCTTCAGCACCACATCAATCACTCTTATCTCGATAGGTATTGTCTCAAAAGTAAGGTTCTGTGCTTCATCACAGGTCTCTGAAACAAATCTGAAGTCCCATTCTGCAAATTATGAAACCGATGACATGGTCTATCCCGGTACCGACTGGATTCGATCCACAGCACTACACTGATTGGCCTGACCTTGCCTGGTAATGAGTATTTCCAAATCAATCAGCGAAATTTACACGACCGTGTTCTTATCGCCGGACGAGCTCAATACCAGCTGATGTTCCACCAGTAATTACTCAACCTCTTGCTACAGCACCATCATGACCGCTCTTAGGCATTGGAAGAACTGGATGACCCTAAGTCTAAACTCTGTCTCTGGGTAGAAAACAGAATCGCTTAATCGTAGTGGGGCAGGAGTATTGAGAAAATCCTTAAAGACTCTCAATCTCCAAGGGCTCCTCAGGAAACGGCTCAGGTTTTACCTTGAAGACCTTTTCCAATAAAGCCTTTTCCCTCTAATGATGTGTAGTAGACTTCCCGTTGGAACTATAGCTGAATCAAGTTTCCAGTTTCCGGTCTGGAGAAAGCAGGACCCAATTTGTCTGGACTGCTTTCCAAGAAAGAAGTTTGCTGATGGTTAATACAGTTCCTCTAATGACAGTAATAATGTGTGTAGGAGAAGGATCACATGGGCACTATGATACATAAGCAAAGGATGTTTCCCCGGAAAAGCGAGCAAGTAGGAAGCACAAATGTGATCATTGAACCTTTTGTCACACTGCTTTTCCTTATCAAAGCTTCTATTTCAAGGCAGAAAATTCGATTGATAAAATTTTTGAAACAAAGAAAAGGGTTGATGTTCCATTCACGTCCCCGAGTTAATAACTCGCCCACATGTGCAGATAAGAAGCGCCGGTATGAAAGTCTGTAGACGCATTTCCGATCTATTGTTCCCATGAGATTCGCCTTCGTTGTCCTAGTCATATTTGAGGGTCAGTGTTTGTCCTTACATTTACATTTGATATAAATTACTTATTTGCCCAATTAAAACTTCCATTTCAGGGATCAGTGTCACCTACACTGACAACGGCACTACGTCCTCTGCAGCTAGCACAACTTCTGCAGCTAGCACAGCTTCTATAGCTACCACAGCTACGGTGGCTTCTCAACCTACCGCAACTACTTCGAAACCAAAAAGCACCGTTTCCCAAACAACAGGTATCTAATAGTACTGTATGGAATAATAAACAAACAGCCATTTTCATCAGCCACCCCATGTGAGGATGATCCCAATACAAATTGTGCGAAATTAAAATCGAAATGCTCGGACCATCGCTATGACGATCTTTTAAACAAGTATGTTTTAATTTATATTTAATTTATGAAATTTAAAAAAAAAGCCTAGAGTATTTAGATCTGACAATTCAAAAGAATCCCCACTGAGTTTTATTCTGAATAAATTTTGTGATTCAGTAGTGTAACTGAAATTGGTAGAAATTTTTGGGAAGTTTTTTTTNTTTTTTTTGAAACAACTACAATAAGCTGAGTGGACCGACAAAGGGATGAACCATTTCCACTTTTTGTTTGGGGAGCATAGGATCGTTGTTGTTGAAGCATTGGTTTGAGCCATGAAAACGACTTTGTTAGAAAATGGTCTTTTATATGACTGTTTGTATCAGGCTTTTGCTCAAACAATTAAGTCGAACATGGGTAGCAATTGACCGGCCCATGGGTATGAAAGAATTGGTCAATCTGGGCAGTGTATTGTTGAGTTTATTGTTTTCCTCAACTCTTCTCGAGGTTTGTAAACAATCCGTAGACAGAAAGCCATACTTACATACCATACGTTCATAGAAAGCCGTACTTGGAAGTTGATCTGGGCAGACTTGAATTCGATCCCTCGGCCGTACTTCTGATAACGACGCCTTTTGACAGTACTGAAGAACCTTTTTTTAGCCACTGCCGAAAAACATGTGGTAGATGTGACACACTGAGTACCATTTCGGCATGCTTCGATGCCTCCAATCAGTAAGTTAAACCTTTCCTCCTTCTTTAGGGACATTTTTTATACCTACTTGCCTTTTATCTCTTTTTTTTTTAATTTTCATCTGACTTGATTTTGTGTTCGCTTCCAGATGCAAGGAATGGAACACTAATGGATTCTGCAACAGTACTTTCTACGATGAACCTTTCAAGAAGCAGTACTGTGCGAAAACATGTAGCCTATGCTGATCATTTCCAATTTTCATTAAATCAGTTATACTTTAGTGTACATATGTATGTATCTGTTTGAATTTAATTAGCTGGCCAGCTTGAAAATAAATTTGAGTATCATTTCTTATCATTGTGTATCTCAAGATATGAAAAAACAGATGATTTTTCTAGGGAAAAAGGTAAATCTGATAAACTGCTTTCGGCGTAGCTAAGATGCTTTTGCTCTGAACTCTCTCAGGACTCATTTAGAAAAGAAGATTATAGAAAAAGGGCTAAATCTACAGTAAAGTCAACATTAATAAACTGAATACTTAAAAACCCCCAGTGAAAGACTGACGCGTGGCGCATACCAAAGAAGTCAATCAACCGGACCGCTGAATACTTTCATTTGAGCACTGGACTTCGGAAGGAACACTCCGTCATGGAGTGGTTCAAGAAACAAACTTATCAGATCGAGTCTTTGACCATACTTACCTTCATAAATCGACTTTGTAATTCATCAAACTTTTGAACCGATTGCTGTACCCGATGATGGAGTACAACAAAATCTCATATTTCAGCGAAATTCCGCGACGCAGCTGCTCGCGTCACTGGCTCGACGATTCAGCGGCGACTACTGTAATGAGCAAACATTCAAAACCATTTACTTAATCTTCAATGATGAAAGGCTGGGGTCTATCCCGGTGAGACCATAACTATCGCGACCAGTGACGTAGCAACCAGAGGCAGGCTCGCCTGATCTTTTTTCTCCACCTCAACTCATATTGCAAGAGAAAAAATCCGTCGTTGAGAAATGCGATTTATTAGAGACGGTCTCAGAAAGTGATTCTTCCAGGTGAATGACGACATGGGATCGAAGACGATGAATCATTTCCGATTTTTACCCTCTGAAACACTGAAACATGCACTTTCCGATCAAGCGCAGATAAGGTGACGTGATGCATGGTTGCATGATGAAACCAAAAAAACAGGAAACTCAGAATTTTGCGAAAGAGACAGCAAACTGGAGCATCAATTAGCTGAGTTCAAAATCCCTTCCAAAAGGCTCCCATGCCCCATTTATTATAGTTTATGCTTTTCCAAACCTATTTTTAGGTTTTCTTTATAACTTTTCTTTAAGAAGGGTTGTCGAGGATAGAGCAATTTAGCTTGGCATGTGAAGTTTCACATCCATATATTTCCGAGTAACATACGAGGCAAAACCATGACAGATTCGGAAAAGGCCCCGCCCACGGACTTTTTGCGGGGGAGTTTTCGGCCAGTATGATGTTTTATGATGGCCCATTTCGCTAAATGGCCATGTTTCCCTGCTTAATCGTTCTATGACAGCATGGCCCCAATTCCCTTGAGAGTTTTCCACACTCCTTGATAGCCGCTCCTTACTAGTCTGAATACATTTACTTATATTTCGACGAATGCTCTCGTTTACGGTACCGTTTAGCCTGATTATCAATTGGTGCTCAATCGATCTCCTCAAATAATCAACTAGCCGGTATGTTTTGGGATTTACCCAAATTTATCATTGGTGAAAGTCAACCTTTTTGAAATTTGGGTTTCCTCTGCCGAAAACCTCTTCAGGATGAGTGTACTTCACGTTTTTGCCGTAAAAGCTCAGGTATGGCCCTTCAAAAGGAATCTCTTTCAAAGCTGGAGTGCAGCCGCTCAAATGAGCGTCTTGGCGGAAAGCAGAAGTGCAGACTGAGCTCAGCTGAAAGGCTCAGTGGCACTTTCGCCTAAAACTTAGCTTGAATGGTAGGATGGCAGGTTGTGAATCAGAAAATGACCCTAGGCTTAGAGTGGAAGGATTTATAGTGAGCACCACCTGGACCCGTCGTGGAGCAATTTGGATTCAGGTAGAAGGCTCGGACGTAAAGAGGCAAAAGTTGCTCTCTCGCAAAATACAAGTATTCCCCTGCAAAACCCAATTTGACCCATTACAAAAGTCAACATTTAGGTACGACTTGCTTCCTTGAACTCTTTATAGCTTTGTAGGCCCAGAGCACGCCACGCATCCGTCCTACACATGGGATCGTGGTCGTGACAGGGAAAATTAAAAGTCCTGCAGGAAACTTTGCAAGAAGCACTTCCTATCCAAAGCGTCAGTTATCCCGATTCATCTCTACTTGTCACAAGGAGGCGTCACGAAACTGCTTCCCAGCAGAGAGTACCCCTTTACCTCTTTGCTTCTTTCTCGTTATCTTATGTTAGTCCTCGACAATAGAAATGTCCAAGCATAATCGAAATATTAGTAACTGAGCCATGAACTCTATTCTCAGCAAAACTGGCTAGGTGATTTCAAGTCGGAGTATCTTTGTAGTGGTATGTTTTCAGGGTCAATATCGAACCCTCTATCTTAGCGCTCGGAGAAGTAGAATCCACTACATTAGAAGAAGCCCATGGAAGCAGGAATGAGTTACTCATATGCAGTAGAATAGGTATTTCGACAGAACAGCATGAGCAGGTCCCGGTTCCTCGTGAAAAAAACGGAAGTGATAAGGCGAAAATTGAATCACATGCTTCTGAATTTCGTCAGTCTACGTCACTTCTTGACGTTGACTAAGCCGGAGGTGGTCTTGACGTCATTGTTTATTGATCATTATGATTCATCGT